CAAATTTGGCAGTCCCAATTTTTTATCCAAGTTCTAATACAAATTTCCAGATATATAAAATACCAAATTCTCCTAGGATGCCAAATTTTAGTTACCAAAGTTACAAGAAAACAATAAAATCACAATATGGTCTCAAATTATCAAAGTTTTAAACTTGGTCAAAAACCAACTTCTAAACTCGAAAGTTCTTTTGCACCCAATTCTTAAAATCACCAAAATAACTCAATGATAAATGCAAAGATGCACAAAATAAACAATAAAACCAACCTGGGTTCTGCTATGGTACCCTGCAGTTTTACCAACATAGAGAAGCCTAGCATTCGGACCCACCAAATTCAACACATCATTAGACACCAACCTATCATACAACAGTAGATCAGCGCTCTGTATCACCCTCAATGCCTTCACGGTCAGCAGCTCAGGGTCCCCAGGCCCTGTCCCCACCAAGAACACATTTCCAGGGCCCCTTCTCTTATCCCTGTTTTCACTTTCTCTCTTTTCTCTCAAAACTTCAAGCAATTTCCTAAGCTCCGGGAGCTGCAATGCTAAATCGTACTCCCTGATAGATTCCTTATCAGGTGGAACTGGGCAAGAGGAGGATGGGGGATTCTGCAACTGGTTCTTGTACAGCCAGCTATCCCTTTCGTACCTCTCAACAGAGTGCTTTTCAGTAAAAGGCGAAGCTTCTTGTGAATGTAACGAACAGTGAATGGAAAAAACTGGCGTTAAACTGAAATAATTAAATTTTCTTGATTGGGTTTTCGAAGTTGACGATGAAAGAGAACAAGATGCAGAGAGAGAAGGGATTCTGGTTACAAGAGCCATGGAAATGGAACAAAAAATGGCCTCTAATTTGAACAGGCAAAGATCATGCCGCCTTTATAGGCATTTGTGAATCTGTACGCGGAGAAGGGAAAATACAGAGGTTGGGTTTGAATTGGAAACTTGCGAGTCCCCTTTCTGAGCTCTAGGGGGTTATGAGAAGGCAATTTTTTAGCAGCTTTTGAGGTTTTGATGGGGACAGCAAGTTCTTTTGTTTGCCCTCAGGGGCTGCTAGAGAGTATTTTCTTTCATTAATATATCACTTTTTGGCTCAACTGGTGGGGTGTCATGATGCTACAAAGTATGGTCTGTCATTTTTAAGTCAAAATAAGCTCTTGTTTGGAATTTATTTTAATGAGATTTTGAAAAAAAAAATATATATATATATATAGGAATTATAATTTTTTGAAGAATGTGTAACTAAAAAGTAAAAAAAAAAAAAAATTTGATTTATGTGTGATTGAAAATGAAGAAAGAGAAAAATGCCTTAAATTAAAATCGAACCCTACCAGGGACTAAAGTTGCAACTCAAATAAAATACTTTGGAAGTTCTTAAAATGTTATTGACTGTGCAGTAATAGTGTAATACATGAAAAAGTTCAATTGGGCAAGTTGACGATATTAAGGGTTTGTTTGGTTTGAATTAAAATTCTGATTTTAATCTAAGTAAAAGTCAAACAATTAAAATTAATCACATCTTTTATGGGTCTCATGATTTTTCAACAATACATTTCAAAAACTTCTGTAACAATTTACTAAAAAAATCTAATTTTAATCTCCACCAAAAACCTCTGACTTACGTGCAAAATTTTTCTTGGTCGAGTCAGCATTCCTTACTTCAATTATCAAGTTCATTCTCCATCTTTGGCCAGTAACTACGTTGTTCTACGAGAGATAGGCGTTGTCGCATTTTTGGAGTAAGAAGTCCCTTTAAATTGGACAGATCTGCTCGTTAGGTAAAACCTTTACTAGTTTAGGTACCATAAAAATTAAATTGAAGTTCAATGATATTTTAGTGAGTCCGGAAAATGCTTAGAAGGTGTTTGATTGGGATTAAAATTAGATATTTTTTTAGTAGATTATGATAGAAATTTTTATAACGTATAATTGAAAAGTTGTGAACTCCATTAGAGATGTAATTAATATTGATTGTTTGACTTTGACTTGCATTAAAATCAAATTTTAATTCGAACCAAACAAGCTGTTAGTAAGCAATAGATCCAAATTAACGGGCATATTTTCTTGATTAACTATTTATTTCCTTTACTCAGTTTCTTTATTTCTTTTGTTTTTGTTTTCTCTTTTCGTTATTTATTAAGCACAATGGTAAGCTGACTATTTATTGTTTTCTTAATTAGTCACAAGACAAGTTGTATTTTAATAGAGAATTAATCGAAGTTCAAGGTAAGGCAAGTGTTGATGCCTTAGAACAAGGAAAGCCAAGTAAAAGACCTGACATTTAGAATTTGAGAAGGGAGTTTTAAGACAAATCAAACTCACGAGGAGACATGGGAAGAAGAACTGACGAACTACTTACTCGTCTTTGGTTAACTACCTTAATGACTGAGTTCTTTCTCATAAGTTATAAACACAGAAGACAAACCATGAACTAAGAACTCAAATATTATACCAAAAAGTTGTAATTTCTTGACAAAAGTTTGTGTTATTAAATATTATGAAATGATTAAAATAAATTGAGTTATTAATTTAACACAAGGTAAAATCCTCATATTACAGAAAAGAAAGGATGGGACCGAGGCTCTCAAAATATTAGACTGGGACCAACTTCATATAGTTTTAATAAGATGTGATGCAAAAATAAATTATGATGATTGTTCATTTACATGGAGTTCATAACGACTATCGAGTTTAGGTGGGGTTATATACACACATGTAGTAAATCGAATTTTGGTGAGATATTATTTAAAAAAATAAATAAATAATTTAAAAGATAATGATTGTTTGCTTGACCTGAGACAAATACACAATTACTAAATAAAATAAATAAATAAATAAAAAGGGAGTAGTCTTTTAAAACCATAAAATGAGAACTATTGTGAAAAACAATCTTCAAGAGCATGAAATTTTGATATTAACAAATGAATAAATAATTTACTCTAATTTTACTTCAATTACACTTGCCCCATCTAGATAAAAACTTGCTCCTTTCCTCTTCTTGAAGTGGCTAAGCACATCCTCATTCTCCTTGCAAATAACAAAACGTGCTCTTTCTTCAGATTGAGCAGAAGTCACAATATACAAGAAGCTTGGAGTGTTGGTTAATGCAGTGCTGCTGAAGGTCTAAGGGGGAGATGGACCTACATAGAAGAATACAAAGCATCTACTAAATTAGACTCGAGGCTTAAGCTCGAAAAGATGATGCAGTCAAGGTTGTTTTCAAGACTATGAAACCCGTCTTAAGCACAATGTAAAGCCAAACGGTTTTGAAAAATCGAGACAGGACCATTAAAATATGTATGCAAAAATGGGGCAGAAAAATTTTTAAGACAGTTGAGGTTAATGTAGTGCAGTGGCCTCTAGCAAGGGAAGGCATTGTGCACCCCAAGCATTGAAGTTTAAGAAAAATCATTACCAAGACGTTCAAATATTAAACATCTCGCACCTTTTATTTAAGGGACATTCTCATAAACTGAAAGACGTCGATTTTTTGTGAACTGCAGTGTGATGAATTGACCATTTCGCATAGCGCCAGGGAGCCATTTTTACTGAATATTAATCGAAAATGTAGCCGTTAATACAATAAATTTCATCAGACTGCCTGACATGAATTGACTGCATTTCTCCAATCTAAATCGAACAATTCTGACTGTACAGAATTGTTCTTACAGAAGAAAATCAGAAGTCTCGCAAAGGGTCGACCCCACTGCAGGAACCAATGTAATAAAAAATGACAAAAGAGGTCTGCGAGCTGGGGTTCTATACTCGGTTGATCTACATCTGTGATATTACTTCAATACCCCTCTAATCCCTCTAAACCCACCCCACCTTACACATAGTACGAAGGGCATTTTAAGTAATATCTTTCTACAACCCCAATCAATTATTATGGCTGTCTAAATCCATGTACTATGTAACGGCTACATTTTAGATTAAAATTTTCTAAAAATGGCTCCCAGATAGATGCATAATATAACATCAAGCAGATCGATGAAAAGAAAGATGAGCTATGCTACAGTTAATTGCAAGCTGTCAAGATAAAGGTGACCAAAACTGCATACATTACATTCAATTTCCTCTAGTATACAAATAACAATGGAACGTTAGTGACATAAAACTGTTTGAGACTGGTGTTTCTTACCTATATAAATAAAGAAACTGCCGAGCACTTTTAGCCTGAGAATTGTTCCTTGAAAAGTTTAGGTGTCACCTTCAGATTAATATCATCATAAGGTTTTTCTTGATGTACATCCACGAGTCCATAATTCTTCAAAACCTGAAATGAATCAAAACGAAGGCTTTCAAATACCTAATATGAGAGAAATGACTGCTTGACAGAAAAGAAGTGCATCTAAACTTAAGAATTTGGCTCTCTTCGATGTTAAACTTCAGAAATGTAACAAATTACTTCAACCAACAGATCCTAAAATATGACCAGTTCTTATCCCCTAGACTGTATAGTAAATTCGATCAAAGTCGTTCTAGCAACATGGTAACTACAGCTAAACACCAATATCAATTAAATAAATTAACAGCAAATGCTTAAGCATTTACCAAGGTCTCAGAAAACATCCGAGCACATATTTTTCTTGGTTTGCCTTCCAAAATCTTGAGCAAACTAAGATCTCCAGATGACCCTTCTGAGTTGCCTGGGACGGGGGTTAATGAGGCCTGCTTTTTTAAATATTGAGCTAAAGCTCTGCAAACCAATTACAAAAGAATTTATCACAGAAAAGCTCCATTCATATTTCCCAAAAAACTCGATCCGCTTTATTGGACAGAGTTTGACAGTTCACTCGGGGACGGGATGAGGACCGGGAGATGAATCTACCTCGTTCGAGAAGACAAGGTGTGTTCTTCAGGAGTCCCCTGATTTTTTGAGAGGAACCCGACTTTTGGGGTTCCTGGAGATCCTATTAAAGCAGATGTATTTTTCATGTCTAATTAACATCAAGCATAGTTATAGTAACTTATAGAGTCAAAAAATATTTGAAAATTACCAGCCGGGGAATTGTCATCTTGTTCTAGAAAACCAAGCTCCTGGAACATAGGAAAAAACCAGCATGTCGGATGCAAAATTCAAGAAGTGCATGTCAAAAACTGTGGAATGAGTTTTCATATTCAAATCAAATACAAAATATGACACAAACACACTCACCTTCCCCCATAAATTGAAGATGAGAAATCTGTAGTATCATAAAAGAGGACAAAATGTACAATGACAAACTAGAAAAATGGAGCAAACTTCCAAATTCATTTTTCAAGAAATAAACAGAATAGCATGGATCAGGTAATAGAAAGTATTACATCCTGTACAAAAGCAGGTGGAAGTAAAATATATATAAAATACATAAATGGCGCACTGTCTAGGTTGTCTAGGAGATGCAGTCAAATTATTCAACCCAAGGCAAACTAGCATTCAAGTACATAATTTTTTCAGACATAATATTTGGGATTAAACATTGCTTAAACCAAGCGCATTTCCCATAGCATCTATTTGTACTTCATTCAAGTAAGCTGTGTAGGGACACTTAATTTCCATCGCTATCATTTCTCTGTTTAGGGTGACAAACAGAGGGTGCAATACAAGAGCCTCATTTTCCTATCAAAGAGATGCCAGCTAAATGTAAAAATAAACCATGCTTGAACATGGTTTTATCAGAGTCAGATTAAAATAATTTAGAAACAGAGGACAGGTTATAAGAGCACTTTTTGGACGGAATACTTTTAGAAAATAAAAAATGAAACTTTTGGATGGAATACTTCAAGAAAATAAGAATTATACCTAACAATGAAAACAGACTTAACATGAATGTGCAAATGAGCCAAGCAGACAAGCTTTTGCAGATAATGGACTCAACCCTAAGTTCGACCAGAATAAACTAGGGGTCAGCTCAGGTCAAGCTTACTGAGCTTAACATTCTAAAGTTCGAGCTAGGTTGGAGTATAAAAACCAAAAGTCAAGCCCCTTAAGTGTTATTTGAGTCTGATTGGAGTAGCAGGTTAAAAGAAGGACTAGTTTTTTTTTTTTTTTTT